AATGTGGGCGGGCTAGGAGGCGAGGCCTGGGTGGAAGAGGCGGTCACTGGGGCATGGCCTGGAAGGGTTCGTCCCCCTTCCCAGCTCTTCCCTTCCCTCTCTGCTTCCTGGCCACCATGAGGTGAGTAGCTCTCCTGTGCCAGGCCCTCGGCCTGTGCCCTTCCTGCCTTAGAGCCAGCCAACTATGGACTGAATCCTCTAAAAATGTGAGCCAAAGTAGAACTGTTCTCCTTTAAGGTGTGGGTGTAGGGTATTGTGTCCCAGTGAAAAGGAAAGTTACCAAGACAGGGTTAAAACCTTGTGTTCACTAATCACAAGTTATGTGAAAAGCAGTAACAAGAATGTACCTAAAAGAGCACTGAAATTTGACAAATACTTGTTAAATAACACACAGATCAAAAATATCATAAGGAAGTCGAGTGTAGTGGCACATGCCTATAATCCCAACACTTAGGAGCCTGAGACAGGAGGATTGCTGGGAGTTTGAGGCTAGCCCGGACTACATAATAAGTTCAAGACCAGACTGGACTACATAGTGAGACCCCTGTCTCAAAACAAAAATAAGGGAAATTGAGAATACTTTGAAATTCAATGATGAGGAATATACATGCTAAATTCCTAGAGTGCAGAAAGCACACTGATTCAAATGCTTACACTGGAAAAGAAGTTTAACGATCCGTTTCCGTCTTAAGACTCTAGAAAGCAGAGGAGCAAATTAGTCTTACAGCAAAAAGAGAAGGAAGGAAGTAATGAAGAACAGAAATAAGTGAAATAGAAATCAAACAATGGAGAAGGTTAAAAAGACTGCAAGTTGATTCTTTTAAGAGATGAATACAATGAACAAATTTTTAGCAATGCTGATCAATCAAAAAGAGAGAAGGCAAATTACCAATATCAGGACTATTAAGAGAATCATGAAGATCCTACAGAAAATAAATATAATGAACAATTTTATGCCAATAAATTTCATAACTGAAATGAAGTGGACAAATTGCTTGTAATCACATACTGTCAAAATTGAGATTAAAAGAAACAGCAATTGCATTACAAAAGAGATTCAATTCATTATTAAAAGCTTTGCCTGCTCAGGATGCAGCTCGGCGGTGTTGCACTTGCCTAGCATGCCTGAGGCCTTGGGTTCAGTGGCCAGTACCACAGCACAACACAACACAACACAGCAAAACAAAACAAGAGCTTTCTCACAATGAAAAACTAACCCCCAATGGTTTGGCTTGAATTCTACCAACAATTTAAGAAAAAATATACCAATATTACCACACTCTCTCAGAAAACAGAAAGGGAAGAAACACTTCTCAGTATATTTTGTGAAGTCTCCAGTCCCTTGGAATCCAAAGCTGATGGATGTTGCCAAGAAAGAAAATTACAGGTCAGTGTTTTGTGTCATAAACACAGATGCAGAATCCTCAGCAAAACATCGTCAGATTGAATCCACCAATATAGAAAAAGAAGAATGCATTGTGAGCAAGTGAGGTTTATCTTAGAATGGAAATTTGGTTTAACCTTTCAGAATCCATCAATGTAATTCACTACTTTCAGCTAGCCAATGATTTTTTTAAAATATACGATCCTCACAATCGATTTACACAACTGTCTAACAGATCCATACCCATTCTTAAAGAAAACGCACAGCCAAGGAGGAACACAGGGAAACTGCCTCCATGTGAGACAATGCGGTTACACAAACAGCCCTCCTGTCCGCATCGCAGTAATGGTCGGTGTGCAGTGTTTTCCCCTGAGCCTGGGCACAAGGCCCGGTGTCTGCTTTCATCATTTCTGTTCATTCCTGGGAGTTCTGGCTTAGAGGAGTAAGAGAGGTGGACAGAGTGAAAGCATTAAGCTTGCAAAAAAAGAAGTGAAGATATCTGTACTTCAAGATGAGATGATTGTTTAATAGAAAATCTTAAGGAACCTGTAAAAGCTAGTAGAAACAATACTTATACTTATGTACCATGTTAGTATACTGCCCGTAAAATACCACGCTAGCAGCAAACAAATGCACCATGAAAGTTTGAGAAGTGTCATTTTAAAAATCCCTCCTTGGAAAACCAAGAGAAATCGTTAGGAATAAATTTAACAAGATGTATGTAAGAGCTGTATGCTGAGGATCATGAAACATTTCTGGAGGAAATTAAAGAAGACTTACAGAGCAAAGAGCTATACCACACAGGTGCGGTGCAGTCAGTGGGAAGCTCGGTTCTGCTGTGAACTGTAGCTTCTACGCAGTCCTCAGCAGTGCCCTACAGACCTTGCATGTGAAAACGGGACGAAGACACCCAAGACAGCCTTGAGAAGGAAATCTAACTTGGAGGATTCAACTTCACTGATTTTTAAAACTTGCCGTATCGCCATAGTCCATGCTGGCATGGGAATAGGAAAAAGACTTACACATCAGTGCGTGTCGCCATCAACAGAGCCATGAGAGCAGAGCAGCAGGAGAGTATTTTCATAAAAGGTGCTGCACCCTGGGTCCCCAGATGGGAAGTGTGGACTTCACACCTTACCTCCCTCTACTCAGAGACCAAAGGTGGACGGATTAGAGACTCAACAGAAGAGCTGGATCAGACAGCGTCCAGAAGACTGCATGACTGGGTCTGATGAGTTGGCAAAGATTTTTTAACAGTAGACATTGAAATATTAATCATAAATAAAAATTTGAAAACTCAAATTTCACAAAATTAAAAGTTTCTGCTTATCAAAACACCTGCAGAGATATGTGGCATATTTTAGAGGTATATATATGAACATCTGTACCTGTGTGCAGGTGTGTATGAAAGTATGTTTAAAATATTCGTAATACCCAAAATATGAAATGTGACCTCATCCTATAGTATAATTCTTTTTCTTAGTGGAATGTTTTTATTTCAAGTAAACAGTTTACTTTTTTTTTTTTTTCCTTTGGTACCAGAGATCAAACTCGGGTCCTTGTGCTTGCAAGGCAAGCAGCGGAACCACTGAGCTAAATCCCCGGCCAGCAGTTTACTTTTTAAAGAGTTATTTTATTCTGTCACACTCTGCTCACAAGGTGAGGGCAGCAGCAAGCGCAGACTGGGAGAAAATGTTGATGCCACACGTGTCCTTCCAAGGCTTTGTTTCCAGAATGTATAAAGCACTCCTCCGTGTCAGCAATAAGAGGATAAACTTTTAAAACCGGGCCAGAGTCTTGAAAGACACTTCCCAAGAAAGACATCTTCATGGCCAGTACGTTCAAGAAAGCTGCCCAGGCTCCTCCAGTGCCTGTGAAAACAAACCTAAGACACAGCATGAGGCCACTGTCCCTGGCAGGATGGCCAAGAGGAGGAACAGATGACAGCTGAGTGCCAGTGAGGAGCCCTCTCACGGTGTGCACAGCAGCACGACGCCAGGGAGCCTTCTCGGCTGCTGCCTATTAGGCTGAGGCACACTTAATCTGGGGTCCCGCAATTCACATTTAGGGGCCTCCCAAAGCAAGGGCGGATCTGTTCATCCACCTTTCCTTCCATCCATCCATCACCACAAGAATACTTCAGCAAAACATCCTTATAGCAACTCCAATCATAATATTCCACACCTGGAAGCATTCAGATGCCAGTGAACAAAAGAACTCCACAGCATTTTATGTCCATCCATCAGCGATATTCTGACTAATAAATAGAATGACTAGTCAGGGGTGGTGGCAGTCGCCTGTAAACCCAGCACTCAGGAGGCTGAGGCAGGAGGATAGCCATGAGTGCAAGGCCAGCCTGACCTACATAGTGAGTTCAAGACCAGCTTGAACTACAAAGTGAGAGTCTTTCTCCAAAAACCAGAACAAAACAAAAAGAATGACTATAGATAATGCACCATATGTGAGTCTCAAAATGATTATATTGATGGAGAGAGGGCATTAACAGATGAGTAATCTGATCAATTTACCTGGAGAACAGGTAAAATTCATAAATGGTATCTGTCACGCTGCAGAATTGTTTTTCTGTGGGGGTGGATTGACCAGAAGGGGGCGCAGAAGAACTTTCTGAAGTGACAGACGGGCTGAACCTGCAGCAGAACTCAGAGGGGGACAGTTGTGAACTGTGCACTTCTCTAAGTAAATTTTATTGCCATGAAAATATAAAATAATCTTAACAAAATATGGGACCTAATTCTGTGGTTTAGTTTTTATTCTCAGTGGGATATTTTGATCTGAAATGATTTGAGACTTTTTAAAGCACACTTTCCCCCGTTCAGAGAAGCAGTGATACTAAGCTCAGTTTCCCCCATGAAACACGGACCAGGGGTTCAAGGACAGATTTCCCGCGGTTCCGCAGGCGCAGACCAGAGACCAGCACCAGCTGGCGGGGTCCGCACCCGGCTGCCTTCACCTGCGCTGGAGCGGTGGGTGTGGGAGGGGAGAGCTCTCTGGCGTGGGGGCTTGGGGAGCGCGCTCCACCCTGTGTGCACGTGCGCCCCACTGGGAAGAGAGCCGCGGACAAGGGCTTGCGATCCACTGCCCGCGTGGAGTCGTGGCTAGCATTTAGATTTAGTTCCAAAGTTATTTCAGCTGTTGCACATTGCACCCATTCTGTACCTCCAATTTTATAGCATGGCGTTTGTTATTTAACATCACGACATGAAAAATTTCTCTGTTACTAAAAACCCTTCTTTGGTACTCTCTTTTAAATAGCTACAAAGGCTTCATTGAGTGGCCAGGCCACGGTTTGTTTGTCCGCCATCCTGCGGTTGAATGCTGAGCTACTTTGCAGGATTTTGCCCCTGTAAATACCGCTGTGATCCACACGGTTGTGCTTGAGGCTTTTTCCTGTAACCGACATTCTTTCCTCAGGTTAGAATTCCAGAAAATGGAAATTTTAGGTTAAAAGGGTACACTTTTAATAAACATGGCCAAACTCCCTTCCAAAAGGGTGTCCCAGTTTCCCTTACAGCCCACCGGAGCCGGGAGGCGCTTGGTGTGCTCTGCCAGGGAGGAGGTCGTCACACTGATGAGCCTCTTGGCTTGTTTCCCACAGGTGAGAGGACTCCACTGAAGCCACACCTGCTGTGCATAACCCGGCTCCTCCTGCTGGCCCGAAGCCCTGCCCTCTCGCTCCCTGGTAGCCGAGCCTGGGTCTCACCTGGATAGCTTCGAGGCGGCCCGCGCCATCCATCCTCACGTGCCTGCAGCCATGAACTTCCTCCGGCGACGCCTCTCCGACAGCAGCTTTGTGGCCAACCTGCCCAATGGCTACATGCCAGACCTGCAGCGCCCTGACAGCTCCACCAGCTCCCCCGCATCCCCAGCCACCGAGAGGAGGCACCCACAGCCCCTGGCCGCCTCCTTCTCCTCACCTGGATCCAGCCTCTTCAGCTCCTTCCCTAGCTCCATGAGGCCATCCCCGCAGGCCCCCTCTGGGCCCACGGAGCCCCCAGTGCCCTCCACGCCCGTGGTCCAGAGGCCTCGGATCCTGTTGGTGATCGACGACGCGCACACAGACTGGTAAGCAGGAAGCCACAAGTGCTAGGCTGGGAAGGAAGTGACCCTCTGAGTGGCTGCCCCTCACAAGTGCACAGGCCTGCGCCTGCAGGCTGATCCAGGGCCCTGGTGGCTAGGAGGTGCGTGCAGACCTCGGGCAGCCAAGCCGACCTGAGCAAGGCAAGGCTGTGACAGCCTGGATCGCAGCGCGCTGTGTGTGGTTCTGGGGCCAGCGTGGCCATAACCAGGTGTTTGAAGTGGCCCTGCCGGAGCCCACCAGGGGGTCATGTCCTGCAGGGCACACGGAGGAAGCAGAACAGAGCTGGCAATGGCAACACATTACCCTCCTCCACCTCAGCCGCCTCCACCCCTGCCTGAAGAAGGCTGATACGGGGGTAGCAGGTCCTGTCCGGAACCCTGGGGATGCAGCCGGCTGCCTCAGCCCGTCTTCTGCCCAGGGTGGCAGCGATAGTGTGACTCCAGCCCCTGCTCAGCGCTGCCCAGGCAGTGAGGTCTTGGGGCAGAGGCCATGCGTGTCCAGTTCCCCAGGAGTCACTATGCAGGTGGTTCTGGAGCAGTGAGTGTGAGATCGGGCAGGAGCTCAGAGAGGCCCTGGAGTGGGGGTGCTGATAACCCCGAGGCACACTCAGGCTTGTCATCTAGCTGGACTCGGAGTGTGCAGGTCAGGGCCTGAGCCCACACGCAGACGTGGAAGCGCCACCTCCAGGGTGGAGGGCTGGGCAGATGGGGCCCAGGGCAGTCGGGCTGGCGGCCCCAGTGCGTGTGCCCTGCGTGGGAGGCATGGTGCATGCAGGTGCTGGGTCGCCCTGACGTGTGTGTGCCTCCACTTCCACCCCCGGAGATGCTGGCTCCCTGGGCTGACACAGCCTGCACTCTGGAGCTGCATTCTCAGTGTCCAGGGCACAGGAAGTGTGGCTGGCAGTTTCGCATGCCAGGCCTCCGGCCTTCTGCTAGGAACTCGCCTCCGTTCTGATGCAGTGAGTCGTCTGCCGTGCTGTTCGGTGCCCAGTGTCCTGGTCACGAAGCCCTGCTGGTCTCTGCGCATGCGTAGGTGTAGGCTCACGCTGAGGTCCTGGTGTGGGCCGACGAGGGCAGGGTTCTGGCTCCGCCTGCTTGCCCTGTGCGGCCCATCTGCCTGTTCGCCAGTTGCTGCAGGGCCCCTGGGTTCCTGCTTCTCCTTCACCCAGCTTTGGACCTTGGTTTTGAACATTCCTTGCTGGGTGTATTATCTCTTGCTCAATTATTTGTTAAGAAAGGTGCATCCTGTAGGGGGGTGGAGCTTAATAAACAGCCGACAATAAGACATCCTCGCTGGGCCACCTGGCTTTAGATCCCATCCCTACCCCGTGGTAGCAACATGGCCTTTCTGATGCAGTGCCTTTCTCACACGTAAGTAATCGATATGAAAGTGCTCTGGGTGTGCTGCTTAATTGCATATTAGCCTTGCTGCAGACAGCTGTGGCTTCCTGCGCTGCCTCACCCTTCTGGACACCAGCCCCTCGAAGCCTGCCTGTGCGATGTCGGTGCCCGGTGCTGGGCCAGTGGCAGGGACTCCCACAGCTGCTCTCCCTGGCCAGCTCCAAGGGAGGAAGTGGATCTCGGGATCTGTCTGCCCGTGTGCCGTGGGGGCAGCACAGGGGCATGGGGAACGGGCAACAGTCTCACGTGGCTCTGGTCTCTGGAATGACCGTGTGTAATGCCTGCTAGGCTATGCACACTGGTGGGCAGTCTTGACCAGCAGCATCTCTCAGTATATTCTGGGTGTGTGTGACAGAGTCTTCCTGTCACAGGCCACTGCTTCTCCCCCGGAACTGTCCTGCAGTCTTCGCGGACGTCCAGCTTCTCCGACTCTCAGAGCATGCCCACCTTTCACCAGATGGGCGAGTCTCAGTCCGGCCTGCACAAGTCCCTGGCCACCCCAAGCAGCCAGCAGGTGGCGGGCCAGCCCGCTCCCGGGCCCTTGGGCTGTGGGGTGGCCTCCTGGTCAGCCCCTCCTACCCTCCATTGTGGGAACTGGCTCCAGAGAGGAGGAAGTGTGAAGGGAAGAAGCCAGCTCACCCCGTCCTCTCTTCCCCTTTGAGATGATGATGAGGGGCCAGTCTGGCCTCCAGTGAACTCACCCGGCCCACAGTGTCACTGTGGGCCCTTTGCTGCCCTTCCCAGCCCCAGACAGGGCTCTGTCCCCACATGGACATCCTCAAGGGCTGGAAGGAAGTGCCAGCCTCCACCCCACCCCCACCCCTGGGGTTCAGCTGGCGGGCATGATGAGGTGACTCGAGGAGGACCAGAGTCAAACTCAGGACCTTGCACATGCCAGGCAGGCGTGGCGCCACTAAGCTAAATCCCCACCCGACCTTGCATCTTCTGAAGAGACCCAGAGGGCTCCAAAGCCTCCTTCCCTGGAAAAAGGGCCTGTGCGTCTTGAAAGGCCTCTGGGGCAGCTCAGGGTGGAGGGTGACATCCGCTTTGTGAAGCACAAGTCACGGGCACAAGGTGAATGGAGCTTCCTTTCTTCCACCTGCTGCTTCTGCCCCAGTTCTGTTGCCTAGAATTTCCCAGCACCTTCCCAAGAGCCCCAGCCTTGACCTTGCCCTGGCTCCTTCCCTGGTCCTGCCCAGCATCCTCTGTGGACCGAAGGGCACCTGCGTTTGCACATCCCCTCCCTGCACTTCCTCCTCCTGAAATTCGCACTCAGTGCCAGTGTTGCACCTGCCCCCTCCAGCTGTGTCCCAGGCTGCGCTCTGCAGCCGCTCCTGGCCCCTGTGCACCCAATGCCTTCTGTCCCCGCTCCCAGTGCCCGCCCCGCCCCGCTGACCTGGGGCTTGCGTTCATTCTTAGAAGCCCGCAGGGTCACCTCTTCCAACGCACGCCCTGCCAGCGCTGCTTGTACCCGCTTCCTCTGTGCGGCCTAAGCGCACTTTGCCCCACCACTGCAGGCCACAGCACGCTGCGTCCAGTTGTTCCCTCTGTGAGGCCAGGCTGTCTCCCTCCTCATGTCCCTGGTGCCCAAGAGCCTGCTTTTCTCCTGCACACGTCCTCACCCCCGTCCCGTGCCGGTCCTGTCAGGATGACCTGTGGTGGGCGAAGTGGCCCAAACACTTACCCTGGGGCCAGCAGCACAGAGCCTCCCTCAGGCAGGGGTTTCTGTTTGGGTCCAGCCAGCTGTAAGATCTTGGCCCTTTATCTGGTGCTGCAGTCACTGGCTGGCTGATATTTGAGATTGTTAGAAGAGAAAGAAAGGAAGGGATATCTTTACCATTGCCGGAGCACGTGCCAGAACCCCAGGTTGATTTTTCAAATCCAAATCATTGAACATAGAAAAGGATCGGAGCCAGGTGGGGCTGTGCCCCTTCCCTACGGGGTCTGGGGCCTGGATGGTGCTGGGGTGGGGGAGCAGTCGGCCTCCGGGCCAGGATCGCTGTCCTCTAGCTTGAGCTTGGCCTCTTTCCCACAGTGTCTGCGATTCCATCCCAACAACGATCTATTGTTGCCCCCTCCAGCCTTTTGTGTGGTTTCTTGTTCTCTCTTTCTCTTTGGAGACAAATGCAAAGGCTGCCTTGGTTTGAGACTCCTCTGCCCCTGGCCAGCCCGGGAGCCCCGCTGATGCCCGCTGTGGACAAGTACCTCAGTGCATTTCTGGATTCTCTGGTGTCATCAGACTGCAGAAGTAGCAGTGGCCATGGTGGCAGCGACTACACCCCCAGGTCTCCATGCTGCAGATCGAGGCCTCTCCTGCCCTGCCTGGAGCTTTCCCTGCAGGCTCCACTCCCTGCACTGTCATTTGCTATGTGTGGCCCATTCGAAGAGGGGAAACAGAACGCGGTGTTGTCCACCTGTGAGCTGCCCCACAGCCAAGGAGAGGCACGGCTGTGCCTTGCATGGGGCTTCCGAGGGCTGGCGCTGCCTGCTACGTGTGTGGGGCAGATGGCAGGCAAGAGAAGATGCGCTGCGGGCTGCCTGGGTTGGGCTCTGTCCCCATCAGAACCACGTGGAGACATCTGTGCACTCTCCCCAGCCAGATGTGGTTCCGCACAGCTCCTGCTGGTGCCCCAACTCTGTCCTAATAGCTGGAAGGGAGCGAGCAGGTGCTGTTCTCCTTTGACACCAAGGGAAGAGAGGCTCGGGCCCACACTTAAGTAGATGCCACGGCGTCTGGCCTGGCTGGCTGGAGGACAAGCCCAGGTATTGTGTTCTCTCACCACCTCCCCACTGCTACCTGAGGCCACCCATGTCTGACAGCCCATGGTGGGGCAGGACCCACATCCCCCCCTGGCGGCCACATGCGGGACCCCATGGATCCCGGAGGAGAGTGCCCACCTGAGGCAGGCCTGCCCTGCCCAGGAGCCCACTGGAGCCAGAGGAAATCCTCCTATCTCAGCCTGGCCAGGGCAGCCTTTTGTAGAAATCATCTTTTTATGCATGGAGAACATTTCCCCCTTTTTAAAGCAGGCAGGGTCTTTTCTGTTCTTTTCCCTGAGTTTTGATTATGCAGTTTCCCAACACATGTCACACATGGTTCCCAGGAGAATTAAAACTGGAAAGAAGAGAAAATGGGGTGAGCTCAGGGCTGATGGGGTCCCAGCTCCACCATCTCTGCTCTGTGGTCCTGGCCAGGCTGCTTTCCGGTTCTGAGCCTCCGTTTCTTCCCTTGGGAAGTGGGACTCTCATGTCAGCACCAACCTCCCTGGGTGATGACAGTGGCCTCCATCCTCTCTCACTCCCGTGTGTGACTGAGTCCTGCTTCCACCCCAGCCTCCCGAGGGCAGAGTCTGTGCCTGGTCCGTTTGGCCATGGCAGCCTCGGGTCCAGCACCTGGCACAGGAGAAGCCCAGACAGAGGGACATTAGTTGGTGACTGAACAGGTGCTCTGGCCCCGGCTTTAACGTGTGGGAGGGTTCAGGCTCTAGGAAGCTCGGGGGAGTCTGTCTCTAGGGACCTCTGGCTGCCCTGGGGTCCAGGAAGCGGCTCGATGCCCTCCACGCTGTTCAGGAGGCCCCTTCTTT